ACGGCATAGACTTGGTTTAACCAGGTTTGTGCAAGTCTTTAGTGCTTCCAGGGCGGCTTCGAGCAACCCGCATTCGCCCATTTTCCGATATTGTATTTGGCTTACTTCCAACATCGGCCCATTAATTAGTTACAATTCCACACTTTTTTCCAGCATCCTCTTAATCAGTATAGTCAGTTAGCACTGTCGACCTTAGCAACGAGCCACAAAGCGTCAAAATGGCAAGTAAAATGAATCTCTTTGACAAGTTTTTTGTTAACCACTTGTGCCATCTCCCCTCTCCCGCAGTGGTACAGGACCTTTCCTTTTCCCAGTGACTACCCAGCAAAATGTGAAGAAAGAAATGTCACAATCTTTTAAAAGAAAATTCATCGAGGAGATTGGCTTCTCTTGCCACTTTGAGGAGTTGTTTATCGGCACTAAAGAGGAACCTGCTTGCTGTCATTTCCGATGTAGCTGCTGGGGTCTTCTGATTTGATGCTAAGTGAACATATGTTTAAAATGGTATAGGATGTGGCATCCTAAGACGTTGACTAGGTTGTGAAAACGAGGCAAGAAGATCATAGCATATAATAAAGAGTTGTAGAAAAATGAAACAACGTAAAAATAAGACGCCAACTGAAGACGACTGCCAGATTCAGGCTATTTTACAGAACTCGCAATACCATGTGATCTACTATTACCAATTTGTTTGAAAGTGATTTTTTGTCCAGACTATAAATGATTCCTGTACAGTTATCCCAATGAGAAAGAGTCAGGGTCTTTGATGACAGCTGCCCAAGGCTGACATTTATATGAAAATTGCCATCATAATTTTATAGTAAGGGTCATTTATTTGCGAAAATACTCCCGGAATCGGTGCTAGGATGCCATAATAGAAATGAACTAATTCGAAGCCCATAGGTACAAAGGGGATGAACTCTTTCCAAGTCATCGAGGAGATTGAAATAATATATTCACTAAAAAGGCGCTGAATTCATGCTAGGAAGCGTGTATAGTTTGTATGAAACTGAAAGTTAAGGCCCTCCTGCAAACTAGGCAACTGGGAATGGTGAGCATTCATAACATTTAGCCGTCCCCGATGATGATTCCGTACTAATTGCACTGCCTCCACTTCACACAGACAATCTTCCAGAACCTGTGTCGGGCTGGTTGGTCAGTCAAACAACGTTAAACGTCTTTTGGACAAATCTGGATTGAGTTAACGAAAATTATCTCTGCAGCCTGGCGATATTCCCAACGAGCTAAAGTATCGTGACTAGCTTAGTGAAAAAGAAAAAACTCGTTGATATGTACTGATGCCGATTCTACGAGTTGCCAACCCGGTATACGACATAGGAAGGGGATATAGTACAAATAAAGTAGAAATCAATGACTAAGCAACATTTTAGGTTAAAATAATGAAACATACCACAGTAATAAATAACTGTTAGTTTGGCTAATTCAGCGAGAAAAATTGTTCACGCTGACACAGAGGACGGATTTCTTAAGTCATTTTATCCTTGTTTTATCAGTGTGCACGTAGGCCAAGGCTTATCTGTGCCGACCAGCAAAAAATTAGACCTTTATCACTGCCCGTCCAGAATAAGAAGGAAAGTATCTGTCACCCATCACAAGCATCGGTTTCTCGATGAGAGGTTTCTGTTTCAGGTCAGTGAATCGGAATCTCAGTTTCTGAAATGCTTGTCCCGTAGAAGCTCAAAGTTGGGCAAAGTTAAGTTCTTTGCAGGTTTTAGCCAATACATTCCTGGACGGCCACTTTTAGGCGAGTTGAAGAGGGCGCAGAGGTAAGCGCAGATTCAGACTCAATTGATTGGTGCAAAAACTTTTATTTCGTATGGAAGTCATGATGAAGAGACGTATAAGTCGGCTGATTTGCGTCTCCTGGTCGACGTCTTCTGGTGAGATTGACCCACGAATCTCTTCATTATGTACTTCCTTATGAAATGAAAGTCTTCGTGTCATTTCTATCTCGAAAGATTCTTCGAAACCCGCATTTTATTCTTAAATAAAATGAGAACTGAATGAATAGGCCATAACAATATCCGTCTATTGCGCAGAGGTTAGCTGGGGCAATAAGTATTAGATTCCGTTTAAGGTGAGGCATTCGACAAAGCCTTCACTACTCGAGTTTTGAAAGAAAGAATCTACGAATATAGGCAATGCTGTCGATTGTAATGACAAAATAAAAATCTTTTTTCTTTTAGAACTAGGGTGAATACAGCTAATAAATCTCATCAATAAAAGTGTGACTAAACGGTAAGCGAGGTCGAAACTGCAGTCCACTCCAGCCGAAATGGAAATAGCTTTAAAGAAAGTGAGGCTATGTGAAATTCAGTGTAAACGAAAGGCCTACTTATATTATTGTGAGTATATATACATATATATATATATATACTTTAAAAAAAAGAAATGCCAAAATTTAAACATTATAGGCTGCACCGTCCGAGTTCTATTCTCATTTAGGGCAATTATGAGAATACCTATTGGAAAGCAAAACTATGTCAAATTTAACTAAAATGTGGGGCTTGGCGGTCTCAAATGCCTACTTATAAACGAAATAAAAGTATTACATCTAAGAATAATCTCATGGAGAAGGTTGATTGAATGGGAATTCTGAACTCTTAACAGCCACAAAGAAGTTTGGGCTTCTTCAGGAGACTTTCTCAAACGTTCCTACAATTTTATTAGTGCAGAATCTTCAGCGTGAAATGAAGCTTAAAGATGAAAGTTTGCAACATGGATGCATATTCGTTTAGAGTAGATTTCGAGACTATCGGCAAATCTCGAATGAGAGTTTATTTCACCCAAAGTCGCATAAGCTGATGAAGGACTGATGGTTGAATTTTCCCACAATGGAACGTGACTGTTGGAAATTCAATTCACCTGATGCGACCTCGGGTGAATAAAGTTCTTAGTCAACCCTGTCTACTCACGCCTACATCAACTTCTGAACTTCCGCCAGTTGAGATGTTTATTAGGCAATTTCATTTTGGTTGCCAATACACGTTAACACAGCATCAGATACCCACCAATCGCCACCCGTATGCATACCATCGTATACACGTGACTTTAGACGATGAATTGAGAATAAGTCTGCCCGTCGCACCGAATATTTCCTGCTCAAATATAACATTTATGTGTGAATTTGCATATTTGTGCAGAGTATGTTTCGAGAGTATCACAAATTCTCAGCTAAAGACCTGATTCAGACTGAGTGGGTTAATGGCTGAGAAGGAAAGTTTTTCCACTCCGCTGTAAGTTGACAACAGGATGTCATTGAATCTGGCCTAATCTAGCCTCACAAACGGATTTCTCCTTTAGACTGGACCGCAGTCTCGACGTTGCCTCCTCCTCTCATCAACCGCCTCATCATTGTTGCCAACCGGGTGGTGAGCTACGGAGCTGTCGGTGAAAGTGGATGTGCTCTTCAAAGGAAGAAGGGCATTTCTCAAATCAACAATGCAAACTTGTCTTTATGCCTACAATCGACTGAGACACTTGTTTTCACTGAGTGACGTTGTTAGATCCAGTGCTAATCTGTCGTCAGGACGTACACGAATCCGCCGGCCGAATCTTGTTGGGGTTCTGATGAGAGGGTGAGGCGACGTCCAAGCTGACATCCAACCGTGATTTGACAATCCTTTTTTTGCAGACAGAGTTAAGTAACATTATATTGCATTTTCCAGCCAAATTATATAAAAATGGACATAATTTCTCGTTCTTGTTGAGCTTACTTCCATTTATAGTGAAAGTGTTGAGTGAAGAGATTCGAAGGTCGGTTCCACCAGAAGATGACGGCGGATTTCTCTTGATCAGCTGTCGATTGGCTTTACTGGAAGATTCATGCTGGCGCTGTTTTCGAGGTTATCTGCTTCGATTCCGGTGGAAAGGTGCCTAGCTTTCGTCCGTCATCGTCACAACCAAATTCAAGCTAACAAGTCAAGAAAGTGGTATATCTACTCTACATCTGGCCTCCTTGATCAAGTATAAAGTGATTTGGTTAGTTAAGGTCAAATGTCAACTTCGATGCCTGCTAGCTCAACAATTATGAAACAAGAGATTCCTTAAAACCCAACTTTTCCTCGCATAATTTCTCGTTCAAGCGGAAAGACCTCATCGCTTGTAGTCAAGGTCTCCCAGCGGGGGCCAGGCTTAGACTGAAAACCTCTTCAGACGAGGCAAACCCGAGAATTGTTTGCCATGAATTGCATTGTTACATTACTACATTTACCTATTTTTTAAGATTCGTCACTTTCTTCTTTTTGCATGGCTGCAATGTATAAAAAGTGAGACAGACACCGACCGATTCGACCTAAAGCGCGACCGAATTGGACACGCCTTAACCTAAACCCTCTGCCATGCGTAGTCATGGCAATTTTCACTGTCGGACCGTTGACTTGGTACAGTTTCAGACGCCCTGGAGGCCTTCTCCGTGAGCCGTAACAGACTTAGCAACGCACTAGTGTTCATCAAAGGGACAAGTGAAGTCCACCCTTCACAAATCGTGCCCTTCGCTATCAGAACTTGTAACTTGCTCACTTGCCCCTACTCCAGACTACGCTCATGCAAATGTAAACATGTCAAATTAGAAAAGGAATTTTAACCAAGGTTTCAAGATCAGGATGGTGTAGTCTGTACTACGGTTGCGGCCTACTTTCGATGTAGATAAATAGTTTGATCTGGTTTTCCCAACTGGGTCGTACTGTCGGACACAACTTGTCCGGAGTCTTCGGACGCGGTGGAGGGGTGCTAATTTCCATTTTCGTCCCCTTGACTTCTGCTAAAAGTCGACCGAGCAACTGAGTTATCCCTTCTTCTGTGTTGCTACATTCACCTTCGTAACTTTTAACTGATTAATTTTCACCTCCTCCAGAAGTGGCACCGACGAGACCCTTACTTACTCTTGCCTCTTTTAGATATGGAATAAATGGTAAATAATAAAATATACTCAAATAACGGTATGAAGGTGCGTTAGCCATAATAGTTAGGATTACTTTCAGCCCAGCAACGTGGATTTGGTACATTACCACCGAAATACAACTCTACGAAGAGACAAGTGGAACCCATTCATCGACCGATTGTTTGGTCCTGAGCTTGGCGAGTCTGACGGATGATACCGGAGAAACGTCTGAGAAGGAACTACGTCCACATTCCGAAGCTGGAAATTGTCATGAATACGCACGTTCGACGACCTCGGGCATGGTTTGCTCATCTCAATCGTCATGACGACAAAACCAATTTGCCCAAACCTGTCCAGCCCATTTAGATAAAAGTAAAGTAGACCGTCACCGCTGCAACCACGACTGCTCAGGCCATGTCTGCAGCACTTCTTGGCACTCCAGTCTCTCGGATGGAGCCAAGTTAGGACATTGCCTGTGGATGGCGAGAGGCAGCGGAATCACACTTGGCCAGATCCGCTCTAAAGGACACAACTCTGGAGTGGGCAAGAGACAGCATTTCGGAATGGGCGACAGTGAAGGAGTGACATGCGACGGTGCTCGAGAGGTGACTGTGCCGGGTCAATTGCTCGTCGTGAACTTCGGTCAGGCAATGGATACGCCGGGCTCGCTGATGCTGGCGAAACTTATGAGAATATGCTTGGAATCTTGCCTCAAACTGGATATTGTCAT